TATAATATATGATAGATAAATGAAAATAGTATAATAATAGAGATATATATATATATATATAATATGAATAAGAGAGAAGAGAGAAGAGCGAACACTACAAACAAATTGATGGATTGTGCAAAATGGATATATATACGTATAAGTTAATATAGAAGAGAGAGGTTATGGAGAGAGAGAGAGAGAGAAGAGAGCTAGAAGAGAGAGAGAGAGAGAGAGAGAGAGAGAAGAGAGAGAGAGAGAGAGAGAGAGAGAGAGAGAGAGAGAGAGAGAGAGAGAGAGAGAGGAGAGAGAGAGAGAGAGAGAGAGAGAGAGAGAGAGAGAGAGAGAGAGAGAGAGAGCAGTAAAGAGAGAGAAACAGTAAAAAGAGAATTTGAATTTTATCTTTGTTAGTGCTATTAGACGACAGTCTTGCAGAATGGCTGTCATTCCTACGCGTGGCTTTCCTCATTCTAGTTTGGTCAGATTCCCTTTCTCAAACCTCCCGGCGTTCAAGGCCAAGGACACACAACATATTTCCAGTATAAAAGATATACTTTATCCAATGTATTATTATATTTCACTCGTAGAATTAATCTCAGAATATTTCCGCAGCCTCGGCCATATAACAAAACGAAATAAACAAGGGTGTGACTCTCCCGGCCCTTTATTTAAGAGCGAACAGTCCGGAGGCGTCCTGGCGGTGCTTCACTGCCACCCCCACCCTTCTCGTTCTGGTCTGGGGCAGGAAACATTTTGTCTTGTCATTTCATCGCTAATGTCATTATAATCTTTGCCACTGTTATCATTCTTGATGGTAAGAGGGTGATAATAATGATGATGAAGATGATGGCAATGACGATATGAACAGTAATCATTCTTACTATAGTAAAAAATATGATTTTTAGCAGTATGATTATAACATCAGTAGTATTGCCAATTATGATAATGAGAACAATGAGAGATATGATGACTGTCATACCAGCAATCACTGTTTTATCACTTATATCATAGTATATTAACTGTCTTTCTTATTATAAAGATAATGATGATGATGATAATGATAATGATAATGATGATGATGATAATGATTATGATAATGATAATAATGATAATGATAATAATAATGATAATGATAATGGTGATGATGATATGATGATGATGATAATGATAATGATAATGAAAATGATAATGCTGATGGTAATGACTATTATCGCTGTTATTATCATTGTTATAATCATGACCATTGCAAGTGTTATTATCACTATAATACAATAATAATAATCCTAATAATAATAATGATGACAATAATAGTAATTACTATTGTTTTACTGTCAACATCTTGAATTTTGATAATGATTTTTTTGTGCATAACAATAAGTATAAAGTGGATCAGAATCGTTATATTTTATCAACACAATCGTCAGTATAGCAATAATCGTTCAAATGATAATGACAATGATTGCCAGAAATGTAATACAGTTATCATTATTATGATATTAATGATTTCCATAATGATAATAGTAAAAATCGTCACGATATATACGATTATATATACGATATACGATTATGATGATATAATATTTGTTATTAACATTAATATCTTCGTTTTTAATATTTGTATTATTATTATTTTGAAGCCTGTTATGATTTTTATCAATATCATCGATATAATCAAATTAATTGTCGATGCATAATAATACTCTTGCCAAAAATCACTACAACATTTAAATCTACACGATTATAAACACACACACACACACACACACACATACACACACACACACGCACACACACACACACACACACACACACACACACACACACACACACACACACACACACACAACACACACACACACACACACACACACACACATATATATATATATATATAATATATATATATATATATATATATATATATATATATATATATATGTATATACATACATATATACACACACACTAACATTCATATACAATGTATATACTAGGAGCTGAAATCCGGTCATATTAAGTATAATACATGCATATATAGCTATATATATCTATATATATTCTATATTCATTCAGCTTTTTAAAATCCGCTGTTGGATGTTGGCTTTCCCCAGAATTTTGCACGGCGCTATGTCTCCAGCTTTCCGGTACCAGCGATTTTGAACCTTATCGAGGTTACCTCGCCAGTGGGGTTTCTGTCGTCCTTGATCTTCGGTGTCCTCGTTGGTGTGTTATGCGTGTTATCCCTTTCTTACCGGTTCTCCTCGACACGTACCCTGCCCAGTTTCATTGTCTATAGCAGTGGTTTCCAACCTTTTTTTTTTACGCCCGCACCCCCTTTGAAATTTTACAAAAAAAGAAAAAAGAAAAAAATCCATTCAGTGTCTCTTTTTTTCCTGTCTCTTGATTATGAGTAATAAATAGATTAATTGCTTGTCTTTAAGATGGACACTTCTCGCACCCCAGAGGATGCGCTGCATTGGTCGTGATTTTAGTATTTGCCTCGTTGTGAGATTCCATGTTTCTGCGCCATATATGACTGTTGGTAAGATGCAATGATTGTAAATTCTTCTTTTTAGGACAACTAACACACCTTTGTCTTTGACTACAGAATTGGCTCTTCCGAAAGCCTGCCAGACCATGGTGGTTCGGCGCTTAGTCTCTTGTTCCTTTGATGCGGAACTCAACGAGATGAACTGGCTTAGGTAGATGTAATGATCAATTTCACCGATTTCGTTGACGATACAGTTAGATCTGGGTCTTCATCCACATATTTGTTTTTCATGATATTGGTTTCACTAAGGTTTATGGTGAGGCCTACTTTTTAACTAGCTATGTTGAGGTCATTTAGCATCCGTTGTAGTTCTTCTGTGGTGCTCGCAAAGATGATAATATCATCAGCAAACCTGAGATGACTGAGGTATGGTTCATATGATTTGCCTTGCATACGTCATCCGCTACAAATCCGTCCGATTTTCTATCTCTTGACGACTTTTTGTCATTTGTCGTGGCGCTGGAGGCGTAAGCTTACTGCGGCTCCTGGAAATCGTGCATTTTATACCCTCTGTAATACCATTATTATCAATTTGCGCAAATGGATATGAGGGACAGCATTGCTTTGTTTTTTAAATTGTTTTTCTACTTCTTATCGGTTTGGTGACTTCCCGGGTCTCATCAGAAGTGACGGTCGCTGGCAAGGCACCGTTTGGCCACCATCTCGACGAAGGCCTCAGCCCTGGTCACGGCCTCAGCGGTGCCCTCGAGCACCATTGGCAGCTTGACGCTGGTCCTTACAAACTTGACGCCAAAGTCTCGCTCGATCTTGGCGATCAGGGTTCTTCCTTTTCCATTTTTTTCTCCTCTCTATTCTTTCTCTCTCCTTTGTTTGTTTCTTTTTTTCTCTCTTTCCTCTTCCTGTCGTATCTTATGTTTTTTCCTCATCAATACTCATTCCTTCCCAGTTTAGTGTGCGGAAGATTTCTAGGCATGCTGTAAAGAGCTGGGAAGAGCTTGCTTGACACCCTTTTTGAGTCGGAATGGATGGGAATCTTTGTGAAGTCGGATATAGGAAATGGCTTCTTAATATATGTCCTAGTACTTTGATAGATTTTAATTCTACCCCTTGTTATTTAAGGCCTTCGGTGGCTTCTGGAACTTCTATCGAATCAAAGGCTTTGTTGCAGTCAACCAGGCCAGTGACTAGAGGAATTTTGTAATCAGCGCATTTTTCAATCAGCTGGTTAGTGCCATGGGGTTGGTCAATTGTCGAGAATCCTTTTCGGCTTCCTCATGAGGTTTTTAATTCAGTACTCTATTTTGTCTGTAACTATTTTCGCAAAAAAAGAGAAAGAAATGTAAATAATATTGAGCAATATTTCTTTTATCACCCTTTTTGAAGAGGAGGACTGTGATGGCTTCTTTCCTGTTCTCTGGTACTTTGCCAGTTTGCTGTAGATGGTTTCTCCTGCAGCCTTAATAGGGTCAATAGTGATTTCCGGCCCAGGTGATTTAGCCTACTTTGAAGAGTAAATATGCATATGAATATACTTTATATAAATAGATAATTAAATATAACGGTTGTGCGTTGAAAAGGAAAAAAAGGAATTGGACGATAGATTCAAGGTGTTTCCTTACAATACCGGAGAGAACATAGGTCTGAGCAAAGACTAAGTAATGTGTTGTACATAACAAGAAGAGGAGGCAAGGTAATGAGTGTGAAATGCAATGTTTTCTCGGAGGTGACTCAAAGAAACATCAGAGATAAAAGGAGATTTAACGGATACACAGAGAAACGTGCGAGGAACTGAAAGAATATAACGTGAGAAAGGACTATTTTGTAATGGCTTCCAATCCAAGATTAATATTTTTCGAACAAATAAGAGAAAGCGCAGAAGACAAAACTGAAAATAAAGTGGGAGAAATTAAAGAATAGATGAGAATTTTGCGTGAAGTCCAGGGCAGAGGAACAGGCTTGGTTAGGTGACCAAGCTCCGTTGTGTGTCTCCACGGGAAGAACTCTGCTGGTCGGCAAGGAGACGGTAAGGTGAGGCTGGTGGAACGAGGTCTGGGTGAGGCTTATGAAGGCAAATGGAGATGGTGAGGGTTAGAGAAGCATGGATCAAAGAGATAAAGAAGCAAGAAAAGGACAAGGGCGGAAGAGGAAGCAGAAAATCAGCGTTTCCTTGGTATTACCTCAAAATTCAGCAAGTCACATGATGTCACCTCTCTATAACAAAACAAAACGGATAAATGATTTGTTGAATGCTAATTACACTTCATACCAAAGAGTTGTATTCGAAGTTGAAGACCAGTGCCAAACTGCACTGCATCATTTTTGTGACATGTGATATCGTACTTTTCACATATGCTTTAAACTGAATGAATAATACGTGTATGAAAAAATGATTGTTTGGGATCATAAACCACACAAATGAATTGTTTAAATGTAATTCCCGCAATGCTGTAAGGACAAACCACAGAATGAAGAAATAACATTGGAATTTAGTAGAAGTTCAGCGGCAGATGCCCTTGAAGTGAATGAGAATGGCAAAGTGACGGGGCCAAACTAATACGTTCTGGGACATGAACAGCACTGATGAGCGGAAATGAAGCCCAAATTTTGTAAACGTTCCTACGAAGAAGGAACACCGAAGAATGCGTACATATAGAAGAATGAAACTGATACCCGAATGATTAAGACTTAAGAAGAAATCACGAAAAGAAAAATTAGCACGGAAATATGAAATGGTAAAAAACAGTATGGTCGGGAAAAGGAACAAGATACACATTTTCCCTGAAAACAGTTTGAGACGACTGCACACTGTCTTTGTAGATTTCTAGGCAGGGAGTGTGGTGTTTGAGAGCAAAGAAGGGACAGTAGTGGGAAGAATGAGACACTGAAGATGGATATGCAAGGAGCAAGGACCCATGTTAGAAGTAATGTTGGTTTACAAATTTCCCAATTAAGGCAGGACAGATTTGAACTTAGTCGTTTGCTTTTGGTCTTGTTGTGGATGTGATGAAAAGCGTAGTGCATGTAGTACCTTATACACGATCAGATTGGCAGGGAAGGAAGAAGGAAAGGTAAATGTCTTGGAGCAACAGAAGCTGACGATGGGGAATGGGAGGCAAAAAATAACTCGTTTTTAGCAAACTGGTTGGGACAATTGAAAGAAATCTAGTTTTTATATGACATTAAAGTGAAATGAAGAGCATACAAGTCGGCAGTCAGACCAGATTGAGGTACAGGGCCTGGAACCCGACCTATTAAGAAACTACGAAAACAAGTTCTATGTAGCAGGTGAAAAAAACCGAGGCGGATGCGCGGGCGGCGAGGAGGACACACTAGTGGAAGGAAAAGTACTAAGAATGATATAGAGAAGACTATTGGAATGGATGAAGTATTAGCGGCCTCCAGCGTTCAAAAGGTGGCCCTACAAGCCGCTGTGCCGGAGCGGGATTCCCCTGAACTCTCGCGCAACTGCAGCACGGCGTGCGGGTGCGGCCACTGCAGTTGCATCCTGGCCAAATATCATCACTGAGATTTTTAACAGATACTACAAGCTTTATTATGGAAGTTGTTCTCGCAACAGAGTCCCGTGGGGAAGAAGAATGGAGGAAGTTAAAAATAATAATGACAAAATTTTAAACTACACAACTGCAATTCCGGCAGACGACACCCGGGCGGCCTCCCATGACTCTCGGTATATATAAATATGACGTACCTTCTTAAAAATAACAAGCACCACTTCGTTTCCTGCTTTCATTTGCATAGTATAAGTACAGAGAGCGTGGACAGAATAATAAGAATGAAATAAGAACCGTTCTCATTATAAGCACATAAAAAGAAGGAAATTATGCATTGATATTCGTATTTGAATATCCGTACGTTTAAGGAGAAAGAACTTCAAATTTGTATTGCTACTGGTAAGATGATGATAGTGATTGCAACAATGTTTGCAATAATGACAGTAATAATAATCATAAAGTAATTATAGCAGCGGTTGCAATACTCGTGGAATCATGGCATAAGAATATAACGATGAAAGTAATTAGGAAAATATTATCAGAACTGTTTACTGGACCTGAAGATGATCGAAATAGTATATTCCTTGCATTGAATTTACCATGTTTTATGTTCTATCAACAGTGATGAAAGGATAAAAATAATATTCCTGATAATACTCAAATAGACATAGAGAAATGGTTATATGACTATCATCATCATTATTATCATTATCATCATCAATCCTCATTATGATTTTAATGAATTATAATCATTATCATTGTTATTATCATTATCATTGTCATTGTTATTATTATTATCATTATTATATTATTACAACTACTCCATGATTATTATTATCATTATCATTATAATCATCATTATCATTATTATTTTTATCGCTCTTAATATTGATGTGTTAATATTATCATTATTATTTATAATAACATTATTATTACAATTGTCATTAGTATTAGTATTATTTATCATTGTCATAATAGTCATTGATATCATTCATAATAATAGTGATAATATTATCATTATTATTATCATCATCGTCATCGTGGTCGTCGTCATCATCATCATCATCATCATCATTATCATCATTATCATTATCATCATCATCATCTCTCTTATTACTATTATTATTATGATTATTTTTATGCTTATTATTATTATCATTATTATCACAATTACTATCTTAATCATCATTATCATCCTCTTCTTTACTACAGATATCATTACTACTATTATTGTTGTCGGGCGTCACTTTCAGCATCCTCGCAACCCGGCCAAGGTTCGCCCGCTCAGCCATCCAGTGCCCTTCGCCAGGCGCCTCTCCGGCGTCGGAGGCCGCCGCTTCCCGGGGGTTTGCTCCGAGCCATTCGCTGCAGACACGCACAAACAACTATATCTATCTATCTATGTAAATGTCTATATGCATATCATGCATACTTATGTGCACACACACATACATATATCTCCATATATAGATACACACACACACACACACACACACACACACACACACACACACACACACACACACACACACACACACACACACACACACACACACACACACACATATATATATATATGTATATTTATAAATACATATATATATGTATATGTGTGTATATATACACGCACATATATAGATGTACAGACATACATATATATACATGGATATATATATATATAT